CATGCACTCGGGATTTTGTGTTTCTTTCTCGGCTTCGATGATTTGCTCTCAGTTTTCCTGTCTATTTCTAAGTGTTTAGCTCGAAAATACTAAGTTTCTAAGAGCTAAACTCAGTGGGGAATGAAGACTTATGAAGTAGGTGAGGGGTGGATGAATTAAGGTCAAGAAATGGGGGACAAATTCCAAATTCTAGGTGCATGGGTCTTGGTGAGCCTTGGGGAAAGACTTGGTTATCTTTGCATGGTTTCTAGGTGGATTTTTGCATGGTTTTGAAGACCACTAAGGGTGGTACACGAGGTCTGGTCGGGATCCAAGGTAATGGGGGACAATTCCTCTACCCAAGGCATTAAACTATTCAAGTATTCAAGTTCCTTAGGGCCATTTGGGCCTAAATGAACCCTTATTAATCTGGAAATAACTGCACCAACTTGGGTTATGGAGAAGTGGGCCGAGGCTTGAGGTATTGGGCTCGGAAGTGGCTGGACCCGGACTGGCGCTGGGCCTGTCGCGGCACCTCACGGGCTGGCGCGCGGCATTGCTTGGACCGTTACTAATTCTTGGGCTGATCTTCCTCCCTTCACTTGTGCTTAGTATGACATGCGCAACACTTAGAAAATTTCCATAAGTGCTCGGCATTGTTAGGACTTAGGAATTGGACTTGCACAAGGGCTTGGGCGCGTGCTAGCTTGGCTCGGGAAAACTTGGGCCGAGGATACTTGGTTCTAGGGCTGATCTTATGGACATCAAAACACTTAGAAAAATTCTAAGTGTTATACTACTAAGGCTCGGAAATTTGCTTGGCGCGAGTACAAGGCTCGAGGTTGTTTGTCCCATTTTTGTTGCGTTTTTCGTGTTTATTTAATCTTTCCTTTCCCCCCGTTTTAGGTCGTTCCTTTAGTTTTTAGTTCATTTCGTGTTTTATTATGTTTTTTCCTTTATTTTGAGTCTTTAGGTGTTTTTCGTTTTTTTTTTCCGGTTTTCTTTTGTGTTTTGTCGTTTTTGGTGTGTAGGTCGGGAGCTTCGGGAGAATTTTCTCTTCAGAAAAGGTTTTTTTCGAGCGCATATTCTAATAGAGGGGTTCGTTGGTGACGCATAGCAAAAAACTGCACTCAATTCCGAGTTCAGACCAGCCCAAACGAGCCCGAAACGTAAAATTGCGCAATGCAGTCCAAAGTCGCGACTCGTGAGACCAAAATCGCGACTCACGAGAAAAACTGAGGCTTAAGCAGCAGTTCCGTGTCGAAGTCGCAACTCGCGAGTTCAAAAAACCTTTTCTGAACAAAAAATTCTCCTGAAGCTCCCGACCTACACACCAAAAACGACAAAACACAAAAGAAAACCGGAAAAACAAACGAAAAACACCTAAAGACTCAAAATAAAGAAAAACACATAATAAAACACGAAATGGACTAAAAACTAAAGAAACGACCTAAAACGGGGGGAAAAGAAAGATAAAATAAACACGAAAAACGCAACAAAAATGGGACAAACAGAGGTCACGGACACTCGGTGGCTCGGTGCCTTGGCACGAGTAAACGCGCGGCTAGGGTTCGGTACAAACGAAAAATATTTCGAACATGCTTAGGAATAATCTCTTACTATATAAATGAGCACTTAAGCATATAAATTCCCATAAATTCTGCATTTTTTCTGTTAACTTTTTACTGTATGTATTTAATATTTTTGGGGGAGAAATATGTAATAAATCATATTCTCTATATATATATATATATATATTAAAAGTATCTAAAATATTATATAATATTCTTGAAAAATGTTTAAAGCCACCTAAATTTTTTCTAAACTATTTTGTAAGAAAAACATGTCTAAAAGTACTTAACATTAACATCAATATATGTATATACAGAAGTGCGCTCAAATGAAAATGAAGTACAAAAGAAATAAGAATGATTCTGGACCACTGGATCTATCCCATCAATGACCATAATCAAGTTAAACTTTAATAAATAATGGTCAATTATTAATGGCAATATAGTAAACAAGTAGTAATATTATGGTCAAATACATGTATTTGACCATTAAATAAGGGTACACATGTAATTAGACATAATACATATGGGAGCCACATATTCAACTCACCAAAACTCACGCCACCTAACCCACCCCTACCCATCTCTCACACATTTCACACACTAAAATAATCTACCCGTCTCTCACACACTGCACACACTAATCTACTCATTTTCACACACCGCACACACACACACGTACATATACACACCCAGCCCGCCGGAGACTGCCGCTGCCTCCGCCGGTTTCCGCCGCACCTCAGTCAGCATCCGCCGGAGAGTGCCGCAATTGAAGAGATTACTCGGTAGTGCCTCCGCTGTGAATCCGAGTGTGCCTCCGCCGTGCCCCTGTCCGGACCTTCATCGTGGTTACCCACACCCCGGCGTCGTCATTCGGCCGCCACTCCAAATATGAATTGGCGGCGCTCTGCCGCACCTGCAAAGGCGACGTCCACTGTCGCCGCTCCGTCTCCTTCTCCACAGGAGACTCCGGTGAGGAGCCCAACGAGGTGGAAGCTCAGGCGCCGGAGGGGGGATGGCGGTGGCCAGGGCGGGATGACGTCGACGCTGACGGCTGAGTTTGGGTGAAATTGAGGCTGTGATTAACGGTGAGATTGGGGATGAGATTGGCGACAGTAGCTTATATTGGGTGAATCAGGGCTGAGACGGGCTGAGATTGGAGGGAATCGGGGCTGAGATTGAGCTAAGGGAATGGGTGTTTTTAATGGTTTTGGGGCTGAACTTGTTTTTCGGAAATTAGATATAATTATGGGACTATTTTGCAATTTTTCAACTTTTAATATGTGTATAGTTTACTTAACAGCAATTTATAATTTTATACAGATTAATTTATGCACAATAATGACACATTAGATGCACAATGTACACTTAAAAATGATTGTCATATGTATACGAAGTATTAAAAATTTGATAAAAACGTCTTTTTTCGGTAAGTAATTTTCACAATATTTGTTTCTAGATATGTGCTTTAAAAGTAAAATAATCAAAAGGATAAATAATTTTCCAACAGAAAAATTTGACATAATCGGTTTAATTTGTTGGTTAACATAAATAACCGAAATAAATTATATTATTTATTCTAAAAAACATGTTTAGTCTTTAATATTCTTTATTTAATATTATATGTTTGATTTAAAAAATAATATATATGTAAACAAAATATAATGTACAATCTATCAGTTATTAATGTGCAATTCGTCCAACACTACGGTGTATGGTGTCGGCCTATATGCAGATTGAACTGAACGAACTTTTGTTCTGAATCCAATTGAAACTGAACATAAATAATTGTTTAATAGGTTCGGTTAACTGAATTATCCTAACTATTTGGAATAATTTGTTCGTTATACTAAAATTATATTTAATATGTTAATAATATTATTATTTTTTATTATTTTTTGGTTGAAAAAATATAATATAAAATACCAAAATCAATAAAGTACAAGCTCCCAAACACAAATGTGCATATAGTATACCATTTGTGTGCATTCTATTTATCGAGTATTTTTTTATGTGCATTTTAATTAGGCAAATTTAATAATGTATATTTTAATTAAAATTGTTTTACACTTATTATATAACTCATGTAATTAAAATATATTTAGTAATTTTGATTTTTTTATTTAATATTTTATAATATTATATGTTGAAAATAAATAATAACATTTTTAAAATGTGCATTTCGTCTAACGCTATAGTGCACTCTGATATTCACTAATGTGCAAAGTGGTTAGTAATATTGTGCATTAAATTTGAGTGTTTTTTTTTTATGTTCAAATTCAAACTAAAAAATAGCTGAAATAATTTTATTATTCGGTTGGTTGATCGCACTAACCTAAATTGATAAATATTTTATTATTTATTATTATAAAAATATATTTTAGTAATTAATATTTTTATTTATTGTCTTTATTATTATTTTCATAATTAATGTATGTATAAAAAAATATATAAAGAATAGTATTATTTTACTACTTATAGTTGACCATAATATTACTACTTATAATATTATTTAGTATTTTATTATTGTATTTAACCTAAATATAAATTATTTAGTATTTCTTTTTGTATTTATTATTTTATAATATTATTCATTCAAAATAAATAATATATATATATATGCTTCGATCGGTTTTGTTATTTATTAATCATTTAATTTTTATTTTTTATAAATAAAATTCAAAACCGAAATGAAATAACCAAAATTCTAATATATGCGAAAATGCACAGTGTTATGCTAACGTGCGTTCTCGAATGTCTTAATGTGCATTCTGTCTAACATTATTGTGTAATGTGATAGTCACTAATGTGCACAGTGTCTAACATTTTTTATGTGGAAACTAAACTAAGAACCGAAATAATCACTTTATTCGGTTGGTTAATGGAATACATAAATATTGGAATTAATATATTATTTTATATTTATAACAATTTATTTAGTAATTTATTTTTTATTTAATATTTACATTACCTTTTTTTTGAAAATATATAATATATATGTATAACAAATATATAAAAAATAGTATTATTTTATACTTCTGTTGGTTCGGTTATTTAAAAAAAACGACATCAAACCAAAATAATTGAATTTTTAAAAGTAAAAGTAAATAATCGGATTAACACATAAAAATTTCAACTGACAATTAAAGTAGAAACATAATGGACTTGAAAATTTAAACCCAACTATTAAGTTTTAATAATTTATAAATTCAACCCATGCACATAATTGTAATAAAGTGAAAATTTCTTAATTTGCAAATAAGTCCCTTTGAATTGTTCAATTCTCAAAACAATGGCCCAGCCCCAATTTAATTCTTCCCCAGCCCTAATTTCATATTTTTGATGGCTGGTTAATTGCAATCCAGATCGGCAGACGGCGAGTGGATATGGCGACGGGGATGGCAGATAAAATCGCTGGCGCGTCCTCCGGATACGGTGCTTTGGGAATATATGGAGCGGATCCAAGCAGGGAGGACGGGGACGGGCGAGGGCGCAGACGACGGGAGATGTCGTCGCCGGGGGACGCCGCTGAGTGATTATGCGTGGAGGGCAACTGGTGGCACCGATGATGCTTACAGCGGAGGACTCCAGCGCGGAAGACTTATGTTTGTTGTCAGTGGACTCCGGCAGCGGGGGAGATGCTCCGACAGATATGGTGTGAGCGACGACGGTGGCGAGACGGTGGTGGTCGGACAGAGTGTGTGCATGATAATTGGGTGCGTGTGATGAGTGTGTGTTATGCGTCTAGTAGTGTGTGTGAGAAAGTGTGTATTAGTGTATGTTGGGGAGCTCTGTTAATTCCAGTCGGCGTTCGCGGTGTTGGCCGACGATTGCGGCGTTGGCCGGCGACGGTGCCGGTGAGATTTACTCTTTTCTTTTTATTATTTTATATATTTAAATATTATTTTGACCCGTTGATTCCAGCGTTGACTGATGACTTCCGGCGTTGACCGTTGACTTCCGGCGTTGACTTTCGGCAAAAATCGTTAACTTCCAACGTTGACCGTTGACTTTCGGCATTGACTCCGGCGTTGACTGTTGACAACTAACCTTCCAACTAGGTTAGTTCTCTGTAGTTGTTAGGTTAGTTCTCTGTAGTTGCTAGGTTAGTTGTATATAGTTGCTAGATTAGTTCTCTGTAGTTGCTAGGTTAGTAGTTGCTAAGTTAGTTCTCCGTAGTTGCTAGGTTAGTTCTATGTAGTTGCTAGGTTAGTTCTCTGTAGTTGTTAGGTTAGTTCTCTGTAGTTGCTAGGTTAGGTCTCTGTAGTTGCTAAGTTAGTTTTTTGTAATTTCTAGGTTAGTTCTCTGTAATTGCTAGGTTACTAGTTGTTAGGTTAGTTCTCTGTAGTTGCTAGGTTAGTTCTCTGTAGTTGCTAAGTTAGTTCTTTGTAGTTCCTAAGTTAATAGTTGCTAGGTTAGTTTTCTGTAGTTGCTAGGCTAGTAGTATCTAGGTTAGTTATCTGTAGTTGCAAGGTTAGTTCTCTATAGTTGCTAGGTTAGTTGTCTGTAGTTGCTAAGAGCTGCGCGCATTTTAAGAGCTGGACGTATTTTAAGTCCTGAGCGCATTTGATCCGCCCCCTATATATATATGGGTCACGCTCCGGTGAGAATGACAATTAATGCGAGAAATAGGAATAAATCTTGTACACTAGATCAATGAAATCAAACGGACATAAGAGACCTGCTGGAATTCAATTGCCATATCAATTGGAGGGTAATAGTGTAAATACACCGATCAAACTAATTTGTCTTAAGCTCATACCCGCACAGCTGGAAACCCTCAGCTAAAATCATACCTCAAATCCCCCAGCTGTGTGTTTTCGTGAGCGATTAACACGAAATCAATGGGAAATATTCCATTCGCTTGAAATTTTACAACAGATTCTCACTATTTCGAGCCCGATTTTCCCATATCCCATGAGATTTCCGTACCAATTTCGCGAGCCCGAAACTTCCGATTGAACCGCCATATCACATACTCGACGACGTCAGGTATATTTTCCAATTAAACTTTCGATTTTGGTCAATTATTGTATGAAATAGAGAGTTGTTGGTTTAATTATCTACATGTCAAAATATTTAATTTTAGGGAAGTTTATCTGATATACTTTGTTTCTTCATGTGATTTTAGGGACTTCATACGTTTTCTTGGTTGGGTCGCATAAACAATGGAATTAAATGACTCTCAACCAGGTACTGAGGACAATTTTATGTATACTGTGATAAAGTGCAACAGTCGATTCTATTGCGTGCAACTGTCTGTTTACATCGGTGCAATCTGTGGGTTTAGTTATTACAACTGATATGTTTTATTTTTCTGTTTTTTTTTTTTCCTTCCAATGGCACTTAAGGAATGCAACCGCCGGTTACTAACACCGGGTGGAACAAAACATTGGATACCACAATGTGACGAATCGATTAAACCGTATCAAGGACAAAGATTTCGGGAATTACATGAAGCGGTGAACTTCTACAAGACTTATGCTCTTACCGTTGGATTTGACGTGAGGCATAGCACGTTGGCGAAAGCACGTGACAAGACGGTTATTTGGAAATACCTCGTGTGCTCACGATAGGGTTACAAGCAGCGTGCAGTCATCAGTCCTACGGCACGTGCTAAAGGACACGTGACAAGACGTAGAGTGTCCAGCCGGGTAGGTTGTACTGCCAAGATTAGAGTGTGATATGATGGATTGAACGGATACATCGTTAAAATCTTTGAGGAAAAACATAGCCACTCAATGATATCTGATGCTTGCAAGTCACAAATGAAGATCAGTAGGTCGATGAATGCAGGTCATCGGTCGTTCGTAATGAATTGCGTAAAGGCCAATATAGGGCCGGTCAAGTCATACCGATTGTACAAAGAGATGGTTGGAGGGTACTCAAACATTAGAGCCACTAGCGTCGATTTCAAGAACTTTAAACGGGAACTCCTTGCGTACATCTTAGGAGCTGATGCACAGTTGATTATCGAGAAATTCCATAAGCGTCGGGAAGCAAGCTCAGCCTTCTACTTCCAATACGAGCTTGATGAAAACGATTGTTTGAAACGGCTTTTTTGGGCTGATCCGATTTCGAGGAGGAACTACGGTGCGTTTGGTGATGTTGTATCGTTTGATGCGACATACCGCACCAACAGGTTAGCACAAATTTCACGTATATTTTCCAATATATGTTGTCAGGTCAATAATATTTGAAAATGTCAACAATAATTGTATAGTTTATACATTCTCTGGTTGCACAATATAAATTATCACTTTTATACTAAATCAACTTGATCAACGTGTAGGTACAACATGGTATTCGCACATTTTACCGGCATAGATAACCACGGCAAGTGTGTGACATTTGCAGCTGCCTTGATGTCGAAAGAGGACGTCGACTCTTATGTTTGGGTATTGAAGAATTTCAAAGATGCCATGATCCACGAGCCCGAGTACATTGTCACAGACCAAGACCCGTCCATCGGCATTGCATTTCCTAAGGTATTCGAAACTTGCAAACACCGATTTTGCATGTGGTATATAATGACAAAATTATGCGACAAGGTTGGTCCTTCTTTAAATAATGATGTAGAATTCAAACGAAGGCTTAATGAAATTGTGTGGGATCGAACTATAGAGCCTAATGAATTTGAAGCTAAATGGGCGGCAATAATGAGAGATTATATGCTGGAAATGCACAATTGGTTTCCTGATCTATTTGCAAAAAGGGAATTTTGGATTCCAGCCTTTTTCAGGGATGTCAAAATGAGTGGTTTGATGAGGACAACGTCCAGGTCCGAGAGCGAGAAAAATTGGTTCGGTCATTTCACGAGTAGCCATTCCAGCTTAGTCGAGTTCTTACTACATTTCGACAGTGCGATGGATGCGCAACGAAACATGTCGGTCAAACTACAAAACGACACAAAACGACAGTGAGTCGCAAATGGCTGACTTGAAGACACATTTGCCGATTGAGAGGCACGCGAGGTCTGTTTACACGACATTCTCATTCTACCGTGTACAGGGTGAGATATGTGCAGCATGTTTCAATTGTCGTGTAACGAGCGTCTCCGAAAGTCAAGGAATTATGGAATTCAAACTCAAAGACCCAAATGGTAAGGCCTTCACTGTTATTCATGATGTCGTCCTGACTACGTCTGCATGCTCGTGCAAGAACTTCGAGTTGTACGGGTGGTTGTGTAGACACTTGTTTTTTGTGCTCAAAGATCTTAACTTCAATCTAATTCCGTCGGCACATATCATATCGAGATGGACGAAGCAGGCGATTAGTAATCCCATGTTTCATGTTCTTGGCAATGTTGCTGCACAATGTGCTCGGGCCGATGATACAAAACACTTGTTGAACAAATTGTGGTCAGATATACATATATGCATTGGATAAGCTGAGCCTTGTGTCGATCGCCTTATCGGATTTTCCAAAATCGTCGAAGCATACAAGTCTAAGCTCATGTCTGCTTAAACAGGGGATGCGACAATCACTGGTAAAGTGTTCCTAAGAATGTACAATGTATACACTATATTATTGAACTTTACATATCGGCACATTGCACAATATAAAACTTGTTATTGCACTTTATAAAAAACCGTGTATGCTGTTTGCAATCAGGGGATACAACGACCATTGATAAAGAACACCAATTTGAATCGTTTGTAGGCATGGCTGCTCTTCAAGAGGTGAACATTCACCCTCCGACACAATCCAAGAACAAAGGCAGTGGGAAGAGACTGAAAAGTGCGAAGGAAAAGGCAATTGAAAGGTCGCAAAAGAAACGAAGGACATGCAAGTCGTGTGGTGAAATAGCAGGTCACAACGCACGTACGTGTCCCAAGAAGCAGCAGGCGTACACATCAAATGTCGTCGAGGTAAATGCACAAATAGCTGTCTGATACTCTAACATATATATTATGCATATATATTTCTCTACAACGTGCCTCTCTATACATATGTGAACATCTTATATCGTTTCTCAATATTCGTATGTATTTATTAACAATGTGTGTGTAAACGTACAATAGTGTAATGCATATTAGACGTGATGTATGAATATTAACATGTATATATATATAAAAATAATAACAATAATAATACATGCAGACACAGGCGACAGGTGATGCAACAAGCAGTTGATGGAAGTCATCTCGGATCAAAATACTATGATTAGATATTTGGTTTAATGTTCTTTTTTATTTGCATTCTTATTCTATTCTTTATTTGGAAAAGGTAGAGACGTACGGTTGTTTGTTTAGCGAATATTGCTCTATGTAGCATTTGATCATTGTCGTGAATTTTGCGTCGGTCATTTTAATGATACTCTCGTCGTTTCTTTTTTTTTTTCAGTGGAATTGGCTGATAATTAATATGTGTGCCAGTGGGATATTTATGTGGTATTTTGGGTGCGCACATTGACTGCAAACACAATGTGTACATCACACTGTTTTGGATCATCCGTTGCACTTTTCTAAACATTGCGTTGCACTTCCATGAATGTCGCGTTGCACTTTTTCAATTGTGGATACCATATGAAACTTAAATAAAAGTATAGTGTATGAACCCGTGTATTTACACAATTACAAAATAATTTGCTATAACGGCCTAATACATATACGTATTTAAGATTGCAACAAATCGACATCGCAACAACCAAACGACTGGCAATGCAAGAATTTCTTATGTGTATACTACATTAATTCACTTTATATATAATCGCATTGCACGATGTAGAACACGCCGTTGCACTTTACATAATGTACTGTCGCACTTAAGCAGTTCTCCTGTATATGCCACGCTAATGTACTTTATATACAGCCACATTGCACAATATACAATATATCATTGCACTTTACAGACTGTAATGTTGCACTTTATCGACCCACTCCACAAATTAACATCAATAGCTATGTCCAATAATCCACAGGCCTTGAATCGGAAACCTGTTCTACATAATATTTTATAACTGCATCTCATCGTCCAGCCACCATAAAACAAAAGAAACAATATATATTGTCGCGTTAACATACCAAAAACGACGAAAACAATCGATAACAAACTACTAGAATATTCATTCAAAACCATAGTGCTAGAAATAAACATCTAGCGACGGGCGTACCAAACATTAGGTCCTACACGCATAAGTAATAAACCAAAACATAGCAACAATACGTCTAACGGGTCCAAACAACAAACGATCCCATGCAACACATCACACAACACCGCCTTTCTTCCTTGGAGACCTCTTTGATTCAACGAGGTTAGCGTCTTTCACCTTGTTGTATGGAGCAAACGCAATGACGTAGCAGTAACTCTTCCTCATGAGGTCGATCTGCCTCTTGTCAGTCTTCTTCACATCTGGGTTCCAGCCTTCCGTAACACGTCCTTTGAATGTCTCCATGTGATGCATTGTTAGGACGCCGGCATCTACGTCGTCGACACCTTCAGTCCACGGCAAGTCAATGAAGTCGGGAATCGAAAGCGCGACCGACTTTAACGATTTCGACATACTCATCTGTGACATGTACTTCGCAAGTGATTGTTGCTGCAACAAATATACACACTAACATGTAAAACAAAATGAAAACAACAAAAAAACAAGAAAAAAGCAATAATATATATATATATATATAAATAGAAAGAACAAATACAAAACACCCGCATCACGTGATAAAAAAATAAGTTAACTTTCTACAAGTGGAGATAGTTGTTACCAAAATCCTAGCATGCGATGTGACGGATTTCTTGATGGAGGCGTCTTTACAGATGCGAGCACTATATAGGATATGTATCTTCCAAGTGCCGGCAAAATACAAATCAACCCACTAAAGCCACCAGAGTGTACGGGGAACACGTACTGTAATTCAAACAAAGAAAATAAAAACTATAATCTAATGTTGCACGTCATGATCAAGAACCGAAATGCAATAAATTGGGATACCATTGAAACTTTCTTCCGGTTGTAGACACACATTCGATTGATAGCGGCATCTAGCATCTCCACAAACTTCTTGTAACTTACGTCCTTCTTTCTCTTTCCCATGAAAAAAAAGTTGTGATTCACAAAATTTTATAGTAAGCATTACTGAAACAAAATCATAAGTATGCTTCTAATACACCAAAATATATGACGATGCACCTCATTACACGGACGCGTGGTTGAGAAGAAACACGCTACTGAACCACGACTCCCGATCTTCTCATTGCAGTTCATTATACGAGCCCACAGATCAATAAGTGCCTCGTTGATTGGCATATTCGGTGCCAAGCATGCCACCACATCCTTCTTCACAATATACTCACCGGACACGGACTGATATATAATCACATCGCTGTGCATAAAATATTATCAGCACACAGTAAAAACAAAATATATAATTACACTGGACAATAAAAGTTGATTAAATAAAAAGAATAACACGATGGTGCAACATATATCTTACTCATCAGCTGTGTGCAGAGCCCAATTAACGACCATATTTTCCTGTCTGTCGAGTTTCTTAACCACGTCAATACACCTCTCTTTGAAAGGGGATTTAAGGAAGCTGGATAACTTGGGACTCCTTTCGGTCTTCCAACGTCAACAACACCAGCATCATCAACAATCGTATCACCACCAACACCTATTCAA